ATTTGGAATAAATCTATGTTTTTTTTTTAAATAGCATTTCCTATGTATCGATTGTAAAATTGTATGTAATCGAATAATTAGCTCCAAAGATAATTTGTGCATACGGAATGCTATAAAATTGAAACGTCACTGGAAGAAGTACCACGCTATCAACTCTCGTTTCGTTTTTGCTTTCTTATAAAAATCATTATCCTTGCCATGTGGATAAATATTTGTATTATTATTAAAGAGTGCCATTTGCGAAATATTGATACCGATCATATAATTTAGTAGACCACGAATGAATACTGGCTTCGACCAAGTCTTCCACGTGTCGGCGTAACTGATCCTCCGTCAGGGTAAGATGGAATCTATTCTTCAACCCTTGAACCGTCGCTGCACCGCCGCTACGGAAGCATGGAAGTTGCGATCCTGTAACAATCAATGATATCATGAATGATCTAAATTTTTTTCGAACCATCACTGTTTAGAAAACTATGTACCTGATAACATGATCTCGACGAGATTCACAATTTTTTCCATGTGTTTCCGTGCAGCGATCAGCCCTTGAAGAATTAAAGTTTTGAATTCTTGAAATTGCTTCGATTGGCTTCCGCCCATCACTTCCACGAACTCGGGAGTCAATTTGAACGGACTGGTCTCGAATCCCAAGTTTCGCGGCGATGTCGACAGAATAAATCCGAAGTCTATGTGTATTAAGTGGCCATCTCTATGAAGTAAAATATTTCCGTTGTGACGATCTTTGACCTGAATGAGATAACAAACAAGACAATATGCCGCGCAACTTTGAATGAAGTTTCTTTGCGCAATGGTAAACGCATCTGACGGAGATGGACCGAATTCTCGCTCGAAGTATTGACAGAGCGTTAATTGGCACTGTTTTTTCACTTGGTGAAGCGATACAGTATTTAAAATTGGCTCGATTAAACCGCTATCGTTCGATAAGCACAAAATTCTGTAAAAAAAAATTGCACGCTTAATGAATCATCAATTATTCGACAACAACTTTATTGTGTAGAATGATAGAATTATTCATACTTATATGGTCGCACCCAAAGCGGCACATGTTCGTCTTGCCAAATTTTTTGCAGCATCGAAAGCAATTGCGATGCGAGGAGCTCCTGTCGGAGATCATCACCGCACTTTACGATAACAGCGAGGAGTCTCCAAGATGCCAAATGACCGTACGGACTGGAAGACCTTATGCGACGTTGTTTCAATTCCCATGGTTCCTTCAAGACAGCCGCCGACGGGTCTTCCGGATCATGATTAAACGTCGCACTAGGAGCAGCAGCCATTTCGCTTAATCGCCTTTTGATATCACCAGGTACAAATATTGGTTCTTTACTGTCTGATGACTCTTGACTTAATTGAGATATCGTATCTCTATCTTTTGGCTTACGAAGTTGTAAATACTGGAGAACCGAAAATACCAAGAATTACAATTTTTTGTACAAGATGAAACATCGACAAGTTAATCTTACGAGCGAATACCTGTTGCGTGATTTCATCGTCCTCTTGACTCCAACAATCGTTAGGATCATCGTCGGGAAAACTAAATGCAACCTCCGTACTTCTGACCGAATACGGGGATATATTTTTAACGGGAGTCTGCCTGATTGGTAGCATGTTCTGCTGTGTTTCTGAAGCGGATATGTTTGTCGAACTCATTACATTGGTTTGTTCGCCCCCGGTTAAATTTTCCTCAGATTTAGTATGCCTCAACGAACATCCCACTATTTTCGTCGGTACAGGCGATGTATAAATATCTTCTACTTCTAACACTTCAACATAAATTATGTATGGTGCCTACATGTTTTAAAACAAATTAATACACATTCACGAAAAGGAACCACTAGCTTACAACACATAATAATTCATTAGACTCAAATGTTGTTCACCTTATCTTTGCTGTTAAGAACAGCAGCATATTGCGGCGGCACTCGCACGATATGATGCGGTATTGAACTATGCAAAGGAAGCCACACCCTTGCAGGGAGATTCAAATTGAGAGTATTAAGCTCCGCTATTAATTGAACAGTTTTACTTTCCTTTGTTGGAATAGTTCCAAGTAATTTACCAATTGATATTAATGCTTGTATAAATTCGAGTTCTGGAGCAAGACGCGGCGCCTGCAAACACAACCGTAATTAGTTTCGTTAGACTCGTAGTTGATTATCGTCGACATGACAAAGTAGAAAAAAAATTATATTTAGTGAAAATTACATTGCAAAAACAGTCGGTTTTTTGTCCTCGTAAATCATTTACCACACCTTGGCAGGAATAAAAACAGGTACAGCCATTATCAAATGCTCGACCAGAGCTCAGGTCCCCAAGACTTACTTTATTTATTGTACCTTGAAATAGATTGCGTTCAAAAAATTACATTTTTTATTTACATATTAATTATTTCTTTCTTCCTAATAAGGAAAATCATTAATTTATTCATCTACCGGAATGGCTACGACGTAGAGTTTGAAATAATCCAGTGGCATCAGATTGAGATCTTTGGTGTGTCTTTTTATTAGGAGATGTTACGTTTTGTATCGGAGTTAGTGGTGGCGGTGCGGGAGTTTGCAATCCAGTTACGCGTCTTTTATTCTCATTTCCTTTTGGCCTAATGCGCCGCGTGGAAAGATCAAGGACAAAATATGTTACATTTGACCTCATTCACGAATCGTTTTCGTGTTCAGTTCGTTCTTTTTACCTGAGTTCATCTGAGAGAATAATATTTTTTAGTTTGGTCCCATGAGACTTCTTTTTGGATGGCAAATGAGCATCGGAACTGTACGCATCTAACAGCCAGGCACATTTTAATGAAAAATCAGCCGACTGTCTACATCTAAACAAAGACATTTGCATTGTTTAGTTTTTCATTAATTATTCTTTTACCTGAATTCATAAGACACTTACCTATGGACAAGATATGGGTAAAGGACTTCTGTAACATCGTGAAGTTGTATATACATTACAACTAACTGTGGCAAATAGAAATCCACGTCGTTATCCGGGAAACTAAACATCTTGTTTCCTAGAAAATTATGCGCTTTCATTTTTAAACGTTCATAAAATACATAGCTCCACGATTACTTATGACGAAATATTTTCAAACACTGTGGGCTATACAATCTATCCACATCAATAGACTACCCCATACAAACCGAAATTTTAACATTCCAAAATAATAAATGCAACACAAGCAATAATTAATCAATAATATAAAATGAACACGCGAAAGAGTCTCTGATAAGTGCTTACCCAGATAACTCTGAACGCCCGGCTCTTTAGAATTGAAAAGATAAGAGATCGCCATGGACATGTCGAAGATCTGGCTTTCGAAAAGTCTGAGCAAGCATCCCTCGGACGGTTTCGGTTGTACCGTCTCCTGTCTCCTGCAAACGACACCAGTCTGCTTCTTCACAGCTGTTTCGTTCGCGTCGGATTGCACGGCAGTCCCACAACACAAAGTCATAGCCGCACCGGCCAGTTCGCACTGTTTATCGTTCACCAGGGACACTTCCATCGAGTTCTGGAAGTCCCGTGTGTCCCGCGTCGCGGCCATATCACCGCGTCTCTTCTCGTCGTGCACGAACTCATGACTCTCAAGTTCTTTGACCGTACAGACGTTGTTATTGGAGCGCAGTTCCTGCGACCCGTGATGATCACCGCCGGTCGCGTTCTCGTGCTTACGCGGCTCACTACTACTACTACTACTAATGTTACTACCGTTACTACTATCACCACCCTTTATCAACGAAGGTTCACTCAAGAGCACCAGTTCCACAGGCGACACCGGCACCGAAACCGACACTGAGACCGGGGCACTAGTTTCCTCGCAGCCGTCCACTGCATCCACGCTATCCATGTCACCCGGTTGGGATACCGAGGAGTCAAGGCTCTCGCGGCTGTGCAAATGGTCGATGCTCGACTCTCTAGTGGCCGCGTTCGTTGCGTCGCTGGAACCACTGTCGGAACCGCAAAGTATACCGGAGTCGTCGGATCCGAGGCTGGCGAGATCCTCGCGTTCCCGGCTGCGCGCTTTGTTCGCCGGCACCGCGGCCGCTTTAGCTACCGGGGCCGGTGTCGTCTCGCATTCCGGGCTTGGTGTCACGTCCACTTCTGGTATACGCTGCAGAGCGGAATCGAGACTTCGGTTTCTATGATGATGCGTCAGCGTGGTCGCGTTCGCTTGCGGAACCGGCGGCAATAGAATACCCATTGACCTGCAAACACAGTCGTCGCGCTCGAATGAGTTTCAGTAAAACAAGCTTTTATTGTTCACGCGCGCGCGCGCGACTGCAAGCGTTCATTCTCTATCGAATAATTGCATTCAGTTATCATTAGCTATTATATCCTGATCATTTCTTTTTTCGAACGTCGGAGCTTGAGTTTACTTCATAACGCTTTTCTATCGCGCTATACAAGTTTGTTGTACTTAGTATTTGTAGATAATGCTATGCTGGGTTATATGGCAGATAACCGCGTTATCAACATTTATAAATATTTCTCCGGAAGCTTGAAACGGACACGAGGATCTTCATTTACATACCTAAAGTCCAAACTGTGATTTCGTTGATGCGTGGTCAGCCTACTACGGGTGTTGATCGGCGGATTTGACCGTCCGTGCACAAGAGGAACATTACAGTTGGCTAATTTATGTCTTTTGATGTGTGCTACGTTTTCCTGGCGTGTCGGTCCACCACTAGGTGTTACGGCCACTACTACTTCACTCATATTAAAGTTGAACGAGCATCAGCTCGGCTAACAGTCATCTGCTGTTCATGTTGATCGTCCACCTACGAATAATCGTAAAGAGAACTTTATCGAAGATTAAACTTCGAATTCGAAAAAGACAAGTGGATCGACAGGAATAGCTTCTAACCAAACTGATATAACGATTTTGCGAAATATATTTAAAAATTACGTGTTAACGCTCGGTTACATTATTTAATGATAATAAATGATAATAATCATGACGCAACGTTTCGCAGACACTATTCGAGCAGAGAATTATCTAGAGTCTTGTGGTTTACAATCAGTTTATCAGTGTCATTCGTAATAAGATAAAGGAGATTCGTATCTTCCAATAAGATAGAGTCGAACACGCGTGATTAACGGATCGGTCAATAAACAATACATCGGATGTTATCAACGCATACAATGGAAATACTTGTTTTGTATTACCAAAAAATCACAAATAAGAGAAGAAAAGAGGAGGCGTAAATAAAAGAGAGAATATTGAAACACTGACGTGGAAAATCAATCGTGCTAGTTTATAATCGTGTTAGGATTGCGTTCTGCTTGCTCTTTCGATTACCTCTTTGATGCACTAATTCCCATTTAAGAGCGTTTAATCGCATCAATGAAAATTGTGTAACTCGAAGACGCGCGTATATTTCGATCTCCACAATTCCACGACTTATTAATTCAGATACAAACGAAGCTAGCCACCGAGGTTTAAATGCTTTCAATCCTGTGTACAAATTGGCGAGAGTGCAGACCGAGGGACGGAGACACGCTCACGCTTCGCAACAAAACTTGTCCGGCAAACATATGTTTTCGATGATCTCATCACGGCTACGACGAATTCGAAACTTTTTACAGAAATCAGTGTCATCTTTTAGAAATGCACGACGATGACCAACCACGCAAAGCGGCACCGTGACAGAAGCGTGAATGCTCGTGCTAGGTACGAGAAAGTCGAGTGTCAGTCGAAAACAAAGCGTACGTCAGAATTTTGCTCCCTACTCTACGACACACGATTCTTACGTGTCTGTGTCTCGTGATACCTCTACTTGTTTCCATTCGATCTTCTCTAATTCCTCGGAAAGAACCCAGGTACTTTTCAACGAGAACGAGAGAAAAACCGCAGATGAATTGGGTAATGTATATAGAATTGCGGGAGCGTAGTATTTACATATGCGACGTTGTAGCGTGACGCAGGATAAAAAGATCGCTTTCTAAGCGAAAATAATTTCGCATTATCGTGCGTCGAGATCGTGTACGAAACCGTGTTCGTTTCCCGCGAGATTAATCGACGGAGCGATCGACCGAGTGAAATCCCTGGGAGAGGAATAATTCAATAAGGAGGAAAATGGAGCGAACTCTAATGCAAGCTGCGGTATGCCGGCTTTTTACTCTCCCTCTTTTACTCACGATCAGGGTGTCTCGTCTTTCCGCCTGGTTCGTATTCACACGCTGGCCAGCGGTCGCGCAGCGATGGGTGTGCCAGAAGCATAGAAACCAAGCACTACCTCTACACTGACAGCCAATGGAATCCACACCCCCATAGATATTATATACCTCTCCCTCGTTCCGTATTCCAACTCGATTCAATCAATCGAACGCAGTAAACCCGTTTCGCGTTGAATGGCGTAAAGTCGACGAAAAACAAAAGCAAGATTGTTAATAGGGGCTTACCACGTACTTGAATTCGGAACTTTGTTGCGTACGAAGCTGCACCATGCGTGGACGTCTTCAATTTTATTCGTGCACAGCGTACGATACAGTACGAGCTAGAGAAAGAAGGATAGGAGAAAAAGAAGTAGAGAATGAGAGGGAGAGAGAGAGAGAAAGGCTGACGATGATGCAGCGAACGTCGCAAGTACGCGAAAGGCCGCTAGGTGCGAAAAAGACAAGATATCCTTTCCAATGGCAGACTCTGACTGTCACGCACCGCCTTGTCGTCGCTCGTTTTCAGCCGATTTTGCACAATGCCTGGCTACGCCCTACACGTTCGCGCACAGAATCGCACTTCATCACTCGCGTTTTTATCCTATCGTACCTCGTCAGGCACGCAGACGAAACTCGTACGCGAGTTTTTTATCCGCTCCGGTATCGCGACTAAAAACATGCACGGACGAACATTTCGTGCTAACGCAAAAGGCGACCTCGCCAAGCTCGACTGCTTTTCGCACGACGCACTGAATACTACTCTCTGCACTGCTACCAACGAAACGAATGCAAAGTCCAGACCGCCATTGAACAGTAACGTATCGTAACATTTATGATCCCTCTATCTTTAGAACGAACATGACAAAGTTCTGTTTCTGTTGCTCGACACTCAATATCAACACTATCGAAATTTACATACATAAGTTTTTAGTATGCTTATTGATTTTACATTAGAAAGAATTACAAGTATAAATGGAAGTGCTGAACAGATTTTGATGTTTCGCAATTCGTTCCTGGACGCACATGTTCCGTGCATGTATAAACAGACATGATACTGTGATACCGCAGCAACCGCATTTACTGTCACAAGCACGCGTGTGTGTATTTTTGATACTGTGTAGTAAAACTGACAGTATCAGTACATATTTCTATTTATACTGCGTATTTGTATCTAGGATGATAATGTAGTAGTATAAATCTTAAAAGACCGAATCGAGATAACAACGAAATGTAAATTGACACGATCAGTAAACGCGCTCGAAATCATTTTACTTCCGTTACTATTTATATACTTTCTTGACGATTGAAAACCAGATATTTGTATAGAATTGATAATCCGCGTCCTGTTTTTATTGTCGAATTTCGTGAACGATCAAGTTTAAGTTGGCAGTGGTTACTCAAGTGCTTGAATAGAAAAGGTCGTACAACCTTAAGTGCAGCTGCACTTTACGTAGCGGACATCGGCGTAGGGACCAAGAGGAATTCGCGTTCCTGATGTATCTGCATACCATCGTGTATAAGCAAGCATTAAATCATTTGTTTAAATTGCTTATGATACACAGGTTGTACTTCGCCCGGCAAAGGTATGAAAGTTATGCTACATACAAATACTATATCTTATATCACGGCAATTGGACGAATAAATTAGCACCGTTAATTTTTACTGTGGAGCACGCGAGTAAAACGTGTCTTATCTTAAACGTGTCCACATTCAGAAGAATATGACGTCAGTGAATTTAATATTCCGTACTACATACCTGTGGACTTACGGTAATCAGACTTTTATAATAGATGAACGTTTCACCGACTCTGAACTTTAGAAAATTACAAAACCTGTTTTTCCAATCAGAAATTGTACAGACTCTAGATGTTGCTTGGTGGGTTCCCCGTTTTCGGGGGAATAAAATTTACACTTTTACATTTTCGCAACAGCGAATGCCCGTGAATCTGTAGAGTAAAAGCGAACATTCGATGCTTCCTGTAATTTTATACGCTTTCTAACCGTACATAAAAGCGAAGAACACATATAGAGCTCGGTTGTCATCGATTCCTTCCTTACTAATCATCAATTTATTTCACTTTTTACCAAGTACCCGTTTATCCAACTTTTCATTAAGCGTTACGAAATGCCTCCACATACCGAAGAATCGCGGCAGATGCTTTTCCCGTTTACTCCTCACGTTTGAAGAAGTATATTTACCTTTTGCGTATACGTACAATGTAGATTCTACACGCTTTAAAATAAGCGGTATTTCCCGCACGTAAGTAATTACGAGAAAAGAAGGAATGAAAATATTTATAGTTACCGTAACTCGTTCAAAATAAGAAGGTATTTGTTGAAAACGAGAATTGTTCGTTTATTGTTAGTACTGGCAGCGATTCATAGCGAGATCCTGGCGTCAAGCCCGTAAACATTGCAAGAGAATTCTACCATTATGTTCTATCTCGATAAATAATAACAACATATAGACCTCCCTTTGATCATCTTCCATTATCAATTCTATTCAATAGTCGTTCGCAATTTCGGATTTAAATTGATCCAACGCGGTCTATGCAAGATTCGAGGGACCGCGTAGACTACAGAACGATCAATCAAGTAAACAGGAAAATATCCAAGGGTGCTGCAGAGCAGAAGCTCCGTTCGTTTGCACCTGCAGGTCTTCTCCGAAGAATTAGTCATTGGGTGCCGGGTAATCGTTAAGCGGCACGAAAGGACGTCTCATACGATCCCCGCTAATGTAAACAGAACGTCGTTGCACCGACATGCTACCCTGTGCATCGCCATGCTTTTCATATTCACCGTGTCAATAATCCTTGACCTAATAATCGACGTACCAGCGAAATGATAGAAAGATGGCATGGCAAAAAATTAGTAAGACTCTACAACTCAAAAATCTATTTATTCCAACGATTTTAAGATCAGGTCAAAAACTATTTACTGTTTAAAATTCTATTCTGGCGTATAAATAACATATCTGCGAAATCGTGACTTGCTCTTAATGAGGGTATTTTCCATGCGATGAATTTCATATTTTTCTCATCAAGCAGATTGAAAAGTGTTGGGAAGGGGATATTCAAACGGCAACTGTACCGTCTGTGCCCCAGAGCGGGGACCTAATATAGAGGGTGAGGTAAAGGAAGTCCATCCCTTACCTTCTCCTCTATCCTACCATTTCACGGTGAACTATAGTATACAATAGCCATACGGCAAACGGTAGATGTATACGTATGCATGTTGCACTCATATTCAGTGATGCTACACAGTTACCTTAGCAGCGGTGCTCACAATCACCGGTTCGCACGCTATCGTTACATTCGTCGATATTAACAGTAAGTATGCAGCATTGCATCGGCTTTCATTAAGCATGAAAACTTTTATGCATCATAATGCTTCGGCTAACGAAACCGATTTATCCATTTTCATGTCTTCTATTTATTCGCGCGTGTTCAAAGAACAAATCTAATTATCCGGAGACGTTTGGTTTCAAGTATAATGCAAGAAATGGGAAGACATATAGATAGATAGATAGATAGCTGTCGCGACGGCTCGCTGAACCTTGCGTGTCCCGGCCGTGTCACCACAGCCTTGACCTTCTATTATGACACGAATTAGATTTAGGAGCTTTCTTGTTCCAGACAATTCTCCCGAACCGATCGAATTCCAGTAGTAAGAGCTTTTGCACACGTCTCGAAATTTTAGATCGTTTCACGTGTTTTGTACACACGCGTGCTCGTGTTTGCGATATTGCATAATAGTTCATGAATCGGTTTGCGTTTTTATCAAGCCATAAATCGTTGCCTAGGCATTAGTAAATTGTAGACTCGATCTAAGATCGGATGAAGAGTGAAACGAGGATTGCTTTAAAGAGAATGTTCGCGCATAGGAAAACTACTTAAATAGGTCTATCCTCTAAGAACTAGCAAATCGTCGGCGTTTTTAAAAAAAAACCCAACAATTTTCTTATCACTATTCTTCCTCTGTTACATGATCGCAAGTTATTAATGTTCATGGTTTTTCCATTTACGATTAGAACCGATTATACACCAATTATTCGTTCGTTGTTCGTTTATTTTGACGTACACGTACGGTACTACACATTTTCTTTTACATTTATCGTGATCATTCTGCGCTTATGTGTATTACGTTTAGCCTTACTGATAAAGTTCATACGTCAATGACTTGCACACGTGTTGGCATTCGTTCTTCCTGCTCAGAGATGTATCTCTGAGATTCTTCAGCTACAAATATGTAATAAACAACGCGTAGGCGCATAGTTTCCAGACGTCCAACGGTTTAATCCAAGTCCCATTCGATGGTACGCTTAATCGTATATATACTTTGGTAAGATTTCTCCTCCTCGTTCCACTTTCAGTGCAGATGCTCCATCATAATAGTTTCTATTTTCGCTCAGAGGGTTGGGTACGCGTCGTAGGTGCAGATGTTCACCGACGAGCTAAAAGCGTTTGGGGAAGAAGGTCGGTTTAACACTACGTATTTTCGACAGTTAGTAGATAAATAGATGAAGGAGTTATTCGATGATATATGGAATTTAGAATAGTGGATATAAGTAAACAACGAATAGAGATTCAGGAAACAGAAAAAGAGGAGGACGAAGACGTTTCATTCACACGGAAATTCCATTCTATTCCGGAACAACGTTGCTACTTACTATAAACCGTAAACGTTTCCGGTATCGTAGAACGAGGACACGTGATTATGATGGAAATACAAAGAACGTTGCAAAGACAGCGGGGTAGTTGGTAGTATATTTACACAGCCGGGAGCGTAGAAGAAAAAAGAATGAATGAAACGTGGCGACGTTAGTTAAATCTGACCTTGGAAACACTCTCTTCCAATACAACTGAAGTCATAGTAGACGTGATAAGATTAAAAATTACGATGATTCTGCGCATAAAAGAAATATTAGTCTTTCCATGATTATCTTTTACATCACTGTCGCTAATTGCTATTCTCTATGCTTATAACTTTTAACTAAGTGAAATGATGTAATTACTTCGTATTAAAGATAAAGAAATGTGCCAAGAACTTCATCCTGGCAAGTGTCTCGTTAAAGAAACGGCAGACTTTATGAAGGGAAACGAACGTAGATAGTTTACTTGTTAGTAAAATGTGTTCTAGAAACAGCTTTATCATTTAACTTCAATTTACGCGAATTCCAGGCCGTTGCTACTCCCGGACAATCACACGAAGTACCAACAGTTAATTGCTTAGAATATGTAGCGCAGGGAGAGAATCTCTCCTCGGTGCTTAGCGTAAGACAACTTACGTAAATACCATAAGACGTCAAACGAATTTATACGTATATACGAAGTTTATTAATTTGCACACCGGCATATTATCTTCGAATATAGACAGTATTTAATTATGCTATATGCAACTGAAATTTTTAGCTTCTTTCAACCTAATCTCAATCTATATGCTTCTCTGCAACTTGGGATGCAGTGTATGTATACATCATGAATAGAACAACGAGCGTAAAGTTACACCATACACGTATCAGATTTCCAGTTCGTTCCCACAGCCATCGTTTCCTATGAAATTAGGTATCGAGCTCACAGTTGCGAGTGTTTTTAAGTGCTACGAGTCATCCTTATAATAAACACAATCAGAATTACAAGCAGCTATTCAAATGCCAAGAACAAACCGCGACTAAATCCAGCTACGCGATCATCAATTTTTAATTCGACGAAATAGCTACTATCTACTTCTATTGTATTCTCGTTACATCACCGAGAGATAAATCTAATCATTGACAAAATAATATGATTTAGCAACGAATCTGATAAGCTTGCTAATTGGCTAAAACAAGCTGGTAAATGTTTCCTCTATAATTAAATTCCGCAGATTCAAGAATCATTTCAGCTAATTATTCTGCATGCTGTAAGTTCGTACTGTAATAGGATTTCAGTTGTCATCTGAGATGTGTAAATCGTTATCTAAAAATATACTTAAGCTAATTATTTGAATTTTCTACTACTTCGTAAAATATAGGCGGTTTATAAATCAGAACGTACTCCCTCATAGATATTGTTACACGACTGTATAACTTTTCAAGCATACGATCCCTGATACTCTCTATTTGAAAATAGCTTGTATTACCAACAGCGCAATAACGCCCTTGCAAATCTGAATTATCAAACGCTCTATCTTCGCTCGTTCGCTATAGAATACTTCAACACTTATTCGTTTAGCAAATTAAGGAAGTACTTGATGATTTCCGCGTTCAAATAGACATTCTATTTTACACTTTAAAATGACATCCACTATTTTATATCAAAGCTAAAATTGGTGTCTGAATTTGAGTTCATTTTTAATTGAGGACGGACAGTATTTAATGGCACAATTTTTCTATTGCCGCATCTGTTTTTCCCTTTCTTCAAATTTATCATTTTTTGACTAGGTACGTGTCGCAATCGACGCGGTCGACACGATGCACGTGCGTTCATTCATAGAACGTTGACGTGGTTTCAAAGTACTGTGTACGGTTAGTCGTAATCAAGTAAGATGCGGACACCATGAATGGCAACCTTCCTGACAAGATGACACGTATGCACAGTCGGATGTGCATAGCATAGCATTGCACAGGACTGCATTGATTGCCCACTGTTGAGTGACTTCCCATTCATTCTCACGAGCTGAAGAGACAGCACCGGCAACTGAAATCATCGTTGTACTCCTCAATGTTAAAATTTTATCCAATTTCATGATTACACTTTTTTTTCTTGTTATCTAACACAAGAAAGAGTGCATAAAAATATCTGACGTTACGAAAAAATCTGTTTTCTAAAATTGTATCGAGGACTTGAAAATGGATGAACTCAGCGACCGAGAATTTAGATATTCATACCGAGTAAAAAATTATCTATGGATTATGAAACACGATCCTGGCTCCGCGGAGACTACACGCGGAAATGGTAGCGATAATGCGCAATTACAATAGAGTAGTACAAATATGGATACACGATAGACTTTCCCGCCTGGCGAGATTTTTGTTTGTTAACTGCATTCAACGTTGGGTACTTTCCATATTCCAGACATTTCGCCGCTTACCACTTAATCGGATCGGGTATCGGAAATGGAATTACTTCTGGTCAAAGCGCCTATTTTCGGGCATGGAAACTTGCACCCAGTCGAGACAATGTTTTTTATTACAACCGAAGCGCGCAGTTGCGTTTTCCCCCATGTCGTTCAGCTCGTTTTCACTCGTTCCGTTATAAAAATAGCTGATCAAGATAATTTTCCGGTATTGCAAATAACCGGAATACTAGAGAAAAGGGCGCACATACCCGTAAGTGTTTAGAGAAAATTGCGCAAACACGCAGAATGTCGTCTAATAAAAGTAAATATGCATCAAGCTGTGATTAAATCGTTCACAGTGATAAAATACCATTACATTACGTTTTTGTTATGCTGTTATTTTTTGAAGAAGGATGCTTTGAGATTATTTATTGCTGAAAGACTAGTTTCATTATTCGCGTTCCGTATAGTGTAAGTAGGGCAGTTCGTTGCTTAATTAGAACTACGTACGTTCACTCGTGTGCGCTACTTCTTTTTTTTACAATCATAGCTCGTAGAAATTTCGGTCTGTCGAAATCGAAGGTATTAAGCAACGAATGCATAGCAACTATACCATTTATTACGCGTTGGAAAAAGTATTCAGGCATTTATATTATTTACGAGTTTAAGCAAATTTTTCGAACATTCGTATTTTCATTTCATTCGTATTACAATTCCGTATGGATAGTTAATTAATCGAATAGAAAGAATGCGTACGTTTTCGCCGCGAAATATCTGCATTTAATTATTCGTCGCATGTATTTCCCATCAACAAGTGACTTTCACTGCTTATCATTAATGGCAATGAGGTGCTTCATGTAAATACTTGAGATTTTGTACAAAGCCAAACTCCGTAATCTTTCAAACACTGAATAGTTATCGGGAAAACTCTAATTAGAATCTGAACTGCATAGCTTATTTATTACGTACGTGCACATGTACGTTTGCTCTTATGTTCAGAGACCTTCGGACTTGTTCGTCATCCGTTATAGGATGCAAAGTGCATGCGGAACTGTTTTTTGCGATGATACGCCCGGCGCCGGGACGCTGCTCTCACGGAGAGTCTCGGTCTGCGACCGTCCGCGTTTTGTAGTAAGTTCATATTTTTAACTTAATGACGCAGCTAAGAGACAGTCGGCAACGGCATGACTGACGAACAGTAGATCGGAAACGTGACCGTCTAGTCACGAATAGACTTGTATTTCTACGATCGGTGTCATTGGGTCTGCGGTCCGAGCTGCAGCCACCTTGGCACGAATTCTCGATCGAGAGGAAACTAGCGAATTTCATTGTTCCACGTAGATTCTTTTAACAAGAATTCTTAACTATACAGTGTACCTTGTTTGATCTGTGCCATACACCGAAGGCCTATGATATTCAAGATATATCCTTGACCTCGACCTCGATCTCGATCGCACACTGAACTTTCCATACGACTGAGAATTTCTAAAGATTTTTAACCAGCTATTAAAATAGAAATGACTGACATTTTTATATAGAATTCATCTATACGTATTGTGTACTAGTGTACGTTATCAAGAATTTCTATTACGAATTTTATGATTCATAGTAATTTAAGATCGCGTCAGAGAATTGAAGTAAAAGAAAAATAATTTTAGAAGAACGCATAGCTACTGGTCTAAACATCCGTCAGTAGCTGTATCTTCAAATGAAGATCTATCACGACCTTGCCACAGGTTTTTAATACCTGAACCATCTGCATAATTTGCATGGATCAATATTGCAGGGAATAATTGTCGGGATAGTCTTGTCCTTGCGTATGTTTCTCAGTGAGTTACCGTGTCTCTTCAAGTTTTATTAATAATCAGTGAGCAACTCGATGAATAAGTGTTTCTCACGATACGCTTTGTGACGTGTATGCTATTGATACAAATTTTTTAACTCGAAAACTTTTAAAAATTCGTTGAATCACGGAACTCAGTCAAATGTACAGAACATATTAAGAAAAGATATGTCCGTAACATATATGGACAGATGATGATTAATTTTTGAATGTAGTTCGGTATGCACATTCTTACATTACTACACTGACGTCAAGCCAGTTGTCATTCATGACTCATGAATGTTTCCCTTCTCTCCTGTTACTTTATCATTTGCCATTACAAAACGCGATAATGATTCATTAAATGGATTTTTTAATGTATTGTCGAATATTTATAAATTGCTATCCTATTTTGCCTCTGAAGAACTACGATCACTTATAGAAAAGATTTTGTACCTTATTTAAAAGTTCAGGATAATCTCTGGCGCCAAAGTTTTCACATAACACTCTCATAAGCTTCTACTGTTCTGCGGGAAACCGCCTACTACCTCTACGTAACAAGCTTTTGAAGAACGTAATAATTATGTAATGATGCAACAGAAATCTTCAAGAATTGTATAATACTTCATAATAGCTCTACAACGATCTATAGCTACGCATTCAATTTTTGTGTAATTCTTTTCATAGTGAGGGAGTCACATTATATCTCATTTTAGATTTCTAAGAACACATATAATACGAAGGTAAATAATAAATTTTATTTCCTTTGTTTTTACATAACTGTACAAACAATTATATGTATACTAACGTTTTCTTCCACCATTCTTTTGACTCTTGCGACTCTTTCTACCATTTTTCTTGCGTCTACGATCAAGCAACTTACGTGCCTTCAATACTTGTTCTGGCCGCTTCAGTTCATTATTCTTTTTAAGTTTCTCTTTTATCTTTTTATTATGCCGTGCCCAATGTGTATTTGCCGTTGTTTGCACTGTAATATATAAAAATAAATATTATATATGCAAACATACAATTAAATAATGAAGAAGTATTTCTACGTACGCTTCTGCACTTTTGTAGATTCTCCTTCGCTGTCATCGTCACTCGCAGCATCAACTTTGCTCTTCTCCTTCCACGTCGAATAACGGTTCGATTTATAAGACGCGGGTATCCAAACTCCGGATTCCGTTCGTATTTTTTTAGCTTTCTGCTCATTATTTAAAGTGACCATTTTTTTCTTCTTGCGATCCCACTTTTTGATCTGTGTTTGAAGTCGTTGAGATTCTTCGTTGTCGGCAGTCAGGTCCATTTGTACCTTTTCCGCTTCCGTGTTAAAGGAATTAACTGCTAAACCTTCCTCCGTATGCCTATCAGGGGCAGAGTAGGGAATAAAAAATTCTTTGTCTTGTGTCATCGACCGTTTCTTCTTTTTAGGAGGTTTATACAAATCATCAAGATTTCTTTTTTTGGGAAACACAACTGTATTGAACGCTGCGTTAATCTCATCATCTGTACTCGATGGAAGAATTCTCCTCACTGACTCTTTAATCATATCATTCTTTTTTGACTCTAATTCATCTACTTTTCTATGAAAATGAATAATATTTTCTTTATGTAGCGTACGTTTTTTCTTCATTACTTGATAATCCGTACATGATGCTTTTGATCCAATTTCAAAAATCGTACCATGAGGTCGGTAATTTACTATTTTTGATAATAATTTTGTTGTAGTCGAAGTAACATCAGAGTATTCTGGTATTACTCCCGCTTCATTAATATGTAATTCCTTTACTCTCTTGATACTCTCCGACGAAGCTGCAGGTCGTGATCGGATGTATTGTTTATATCCATTATCACAAACTTGTTCCATATTTTGGAGATCAGTGGAACAATTATGCCAATTTATTAACTCGCTCAGTTCCTCCTCTATCATTGCTTGTGGCATTTTACCAATGACACCATCCGTACTTTCTGTAGATCCGGAAGGTGGTACAATGCATAATGAACGTCCAAGAAAAAGATGTAAATCTAATAAGTAAGCATATTCATCTGGGCTTATGATGTTATATGCTGTTCCAGCACGACCTGCTCGTGCACAACGACCTACTCTATGCACAAAAAGCTTCGATTTTGCCGGAAAGTTGAAGTTTATTACGTAATCCAGGTGTGGAATATCCAAACCTCGTGCGGCAACATCTGTGACCACCAGAACTCGAGCTTTACCGTTTTGAAATTTAGCGGCATTTATTTTTCGAGCTGATGGATCCAAATTGGAATAAATAAACGTATTGGAAATCCCCGCTTTATCCAATATTTGATGAATATATTCAACATGATGCATCGTCGCAGCAAATACGACCGTTTGAGAATCATCCTTAATAACATTTTTCAACAAACATAGCAATACTGCCAATTTTTCTTCTGGTCGGCATGTTATGAACGAAAGTTTCAACTGTTCCGGTATTTTGCTTTCTACATCTAATCGCAATAGAACAGGATCAGTTAATCCGGCTTTTGCAAACTCGACTAGGAGCTTAGGTAATGTCGCCGAAAATAATAACGTTTGTCTAGATTCTGGTAATCTGTTCGTAATCTCATTGATCTGTTCTCCAAAACCCATTTCAAATAATCTGCAATACACAAGTTTCAACAAATCGGTAATACGTTAATTTAAGACCTAACACTTTCTATGTGTAAGTACAATATAGAATATATTCTTACCTATCAGCTTCATCAAAAACTACGTATTCTATATTATTTAATTGTAGATCCATTTCTATGCATATATGTAAAAATCGGCCTGGTGTTGCTACTAATATATCAGGATTTCCATGAATTACACTGAACTGATTTTCCATACTATCACCTCCAAGAATTACAGCCGCTTTTAAGCCAGTAAATTTGCCTAATTCTTTTAGAAATTTCAATGTCTGTAATGCCAGTTCTCTGGTAGGTGATAAGATTAATGCTCTTGCACCAGTTTTTGCTTGCCTTGTTTTAAGCTTTTCAAATAAAGGAATTAAAAAGCAAGCTGTTTTTCCACTGCCTGTCCTAGCCATAGCTACTATATCACGGCCTTCTAAAGCCAATGGTATTGTCTGTGGAAACAAATATTTGAATAGTTAATACTTTTTATTATCAATCAATTTTAATTAACATTGTACAGCATACTTTTCTTTGTATAGGAGTTGGTATCTTGTATCCACGTCTTAAAATTCCTTTTAATACAGGGAAACTAAGAGCCATTGATTGAAATCCTCCTGATTTCTTACATACTTTCTTCTTAATATTGGTGATTTCATTTTCCTCCTCATTATCGCTCACTTCTTCCGGATCATCAAAACCCACGATTTTTGTGTCTTTCATTTTCTTTTAATTTCCTTTAACAACAATATGACTGTCAAAAATAATCTGTAATGAATTGATTAATTTTGGATATAACACGTGGATCTACTAACTTATGACAAATGTAAATTGACACTATTTTTAATGCAATACTAAGCAGGTATACAGTATTAAATACAAATTGTTTCTTAGAATTATAAACTAAATATCATGTTGCAATTTATGCGCTGATTTTTTTAATTCTATAAAGTGTAACATGCATCGACAGCACGGTCATAGCGACATCGACCATTCACTTCAAGTTATACTGATCAGTGTTTTCAACTTTATAAATTCACAAAATGGACATGTATTAGCATATATATTATCGTTTTAAATAAATATACTAAATATGTTTTGTGCTTATTGTTTTAACTATGTCTTTTATCATTTTCAATTTCAAAATTCTGATTTAGATTGCACTTTGTATTCAACATACATCGAATTTAATCTCGTTGATATTGGCAGTATGTGAAATACACTTCACGAGATTGCATCAATCGAAACTCGGCCATTTTTGTCAAAGCTATCACACCGAGTAAACATGAAGTAAGTAAGGTTTTTAATGAAATACGTATCCATTAAATCACATACGATCATACGAATTTTTTTTAATTTATCTAAGAAGTTGTTCCTTCCGAGTATTTTCAATAAAGATGATGTCAATCTTTTTAGGATCGGTCTTTGCGCATACAGTGGATATAAAATATATCCTGGCCATGGTAAAACCATGGTTAAAGTGGATGGAAAAGTACGTACAATATAAAGCAAAAGCCTATTTAATACGAGAATTATTAATTCTTATTATTACTGCCATTTTACAATTGAATGTCATCATACTAACATTTTATTTTCATTTATTTACCATAACCTTCCTTTTTCTATTGTACTTCTCAGACATTTACATTCTTGAACTCAAAATGTGAATCTGCACATTTAATGAGGCGCAATCCAAGGAAAGTGACATGGACAGTATTATACAGGTATGTCCTTTCTTCTTAATTTTTATATATTTTTAAAAACAGAATATGATTCATTAAATAAAATTCTATATTACAGACGTAAACATAAAAAGGGACAAGAAGAAGAACAAGCGAAGAAAAGGACGAGACGTACTCAAAAATTCCAGAGAGCTATTGTAGGTGCGTCCCTTACAGACATATTAGCCAAACGAAACATGAAACCAGAAATTCGTAAGGCTCAAAGGGAGCAGGCAATTAAGTAAGTATTTCTTGAATATGACAAAATATATGGTGCTTTATACTGTAGACATCTGTTCCTTTGATATGATATTCCATGTCATATTAGATTTCAGAATGTCTTAGAATAACTGAATTGCTTCACCCAGAATTGTATTAATTTTTTACACTGTCTGGCTTTTGCGGGTTCATACAGTTTCCATAAATTTATAAGACAATATGTATTAAATATATATTTCTGTTTTAGAGCTGCTAAAGAACAGAAGAAAGCTGCGAAGGCAACAAAGAAGGCAGTTGTTGCACCCAAAGCGAAAGCATTGCCCAAACACAAAGCAGCGAAGATAACGCAGAAGGCGGCTCCTCGTGTTGGTGGAAAACGTTAATTTACGAAACTGTATAAATAAAAAGGAACTTTATATTTAAGTAATATATTTTTTATTTTCCCAACATGATACACATTATAACGTGTTTGAAACTAGATAATTAAAAGAACATCTATTGCGTTCTTTGTACATACATACATTTATACTATGCACACAATTGTTATTATAATCTCATTCAACGATGAATCATTTCAAATGTTAACATCTTATTACATTAGCATATTTTACTTTTTCTTGTTCAATTCTTTTTTCAAAATAGACAATCTTGTCAAAGCTTCGTCTCTCCACGCGCGTCTTTTTTGAAGTTGGTCTAATGGGCACATTTGATTCAGTTCGTTGCTAATTTTTTCCGCCATTTCACCCTCAAATTTCGGAACTGGACCGAATGTCAAAGACGTATTGTATATTGAATTTTTATAGGTCTCACAATACTTCTTCATTCCTAAAACAATTATGTAAATATGTAAATTACATGATATATATTTCCGATATTTTTATGTAACATGGTAATATTACCTTCTGCATTCAAATGGGCCGCTTCGAACGCGCCGAGGAACGCGTAGCGCATTCCGAGGCCTTCGCTCATAACTGCATCCACATCTTTTACGCTTAAAATTCCATCGGCCACCAATCTCCACGTCTCGTTCAAAATCGCATATCTAAATTACATACATGGAGAATCAATTAAGAAATCGAAGAGCATGGACAATCGAGATTAAATCGAAACATGCATACTGTATTCTGTTAAGTGCAAAACCATCAATCTCTTTTGAAAGTAAAACAGGTGTCTGGCCTATTTCACTCATAATAGCTTTTGTTTTCTGCTGTATATCCGCACGCGTCCATGGTGCCGGTACAATTTCTACGAGTGGTACGAAGTACGGGGGATTCACCTACGATCAAAGAAATTTAATTGTTTCTGACATTAATTTTCACTGAAAAATTCATCGATTTTTACTCTACGGAATTATACGTACGGGATGTGACACAATGAGTTGCTCGCGATGCTTCAAGTTTTCGCTTAATAAGGATGGGCGAAATGTTGATGTTGAAGAAGATAAAATTACTTTGTCATCTACTACGTCGTCGAGTTGACTATACAACTTCACTTTCAGCGGCAAATTTTCAGGTACGCATTCTTGTACAAGTGTTGCGTTTTTCACAGTCTCAGCCAAATTAGTTGATCCTGTTGATTATTATGATCGTAAACACTTTACCGCTATTTATGTTAACTTGAATTTTCTTCAAACATTTATTATTAATTGAATATATATTGCTTGTTAGAGAATTGCGAACCTTTTATTAATTTTAATTGCTGTTCGGCGTTAACTGTTCCCCTTAAAGTACCGGCTTGTTCAAGGTGATTTACGTCTTGGCGAATTTCTTCTAAAGCCCGAGTAATTTGCTCCTGTACGATATCGTACAAAACTACTTCGTATCCTGCGCCAGCAAAAAGCATCGCCCAGCTACGACCGATTATACCGCTAAAATAGTAAATGTGCTGTTAGAATGTTAAGAAAACATCAATTCTTTTACGTTACATTGTTAGAAAGAATATTATACAATTGTTTGCGTTTATCATTTAAATTTTCCGCTGCCAGCTATCATATTATCTTATCAGAGCCAATCCGGGTCGTAAGTACTTTTAACACTTGATTTTTAAGCCATTATCGACGAAAGTATGATGTAAATATGATGTAATTTATAGTTGCTTTATTAAAACGATTAGAAAATTGCATTTATGAATCGCATATAATATAGAATTATATTTATCGCTTATGACATTAAATTATGGAATTGGACTGTATATTTTATATATATTTCTATATTCCATTACATTGAGTCAATATTTGATACATAATTAAACACGTAATTATACTGAATAATAAGAACAAGACTGTTTAGCGCCCCGTAGCAAGTTTGAATATTCAATGCGCTTAAAAAAATTATTATTATTATTATATTACCGCTTATATTATTAATGAAACGACTTTATTTAATTTGAATTTCGTTACCTGCCAATTATACCGATCTTTTCATTTTTGAGAGCCATTGTTGAATACTTGTTTAACTTCAGAATTTCGTCGAAACTATACTAACTCAAATCACGTGTGAGTTATACACGATTTCTGACACCATGGAACGTCTGCCATACTAATTCATGTATATATATCCTCTTCTGAGATAGCCCCACCAGTTATACATGTTGACTATGACGCGACTTCAATTATAATTCGATTATCTTTTACGATTATCTTCCACTTGAAATGTTAGTGTCATCTGATAATTTTATAGATACTGGAATCGAGTAAAATCAAACTGATTGCATAATCGTTTGCCCCAATCGAAGAATAAATGAGAACGTCAGAATACCCTGAATAAAATTAGAATGGCAAAAACCGCTACAAAGAGGAAGCATTGAACACGGTCTACGAATGACTTGCTGTAACCTTTTGGTGAGAAAGATGTATGTCGAAAAATGATTGGTTAACAGTAAGAATTTCACGCGGGGAAAAACCTAACATCCGAAGCCAAGGTTATATTCTGACGCATTCTAGAGATAAGTTACATATTGTCTGGTGAGTACGCGAACGTTTCGCAAGCGATATCAAGCTGTCAAACTTTGTTCGATATCGCTACTTCTCTTAAAAGTATTATTACATACAAAATAGTGGAAGCGTTCGTTTACTACCGTGATAAATTTTGAATTAAATCTACACAATGCCTGAAGTTCACGAAAGTTCTCCGGTTCTAGCCAGTGCCTCCGAAAATCAGGACCTTTTCCCTTACAGATATGGTAATTAGTCATTTATATTTGTCTACTATAATATTTTGCATGTGAAACTGTTTTAAACAATTTTCTCCTGAAGAGTTACAGACAATGAATGACTCGGGTGCTTATAGTCCTCACACAGGATCTCAGGGTGCACCGAGTGCTGCTTCACCTATGTCAGCAATGTTTTCGTCAATCCAAAATGCTGACTTGTTGTTAGAAGGAATAACATGTATGATATTTCATAATGTTTATCTATATATTTGATTTATTTTATTTTTATGTTATTTCTTATCTTTTATGTTCAAGTTGAAGTTCCATATCTGACGATATTGGATCAGCCGTCAGAAAAATTTAGATTCCGATATAAATCGGAAATGGTTGGGACTCATGGAAGTTTAATGGGTTCTAACAGTAACAACAATCGAAGTAAATCGGCACCAACAGTCAAAGTATGTAAAATTTATTTCGTATTAGTAAGTAACAAAAACGTTGTTTCATTATTTATATATATTGGTCATATCGTTTAGTTGAACAATTATTCTGAATCCGCAATAATACGATGTACATTGTTTACGTCTGACGAAGAGCTAAGGATTCCACATGCTCATAGATTAATTCGTCGAGTTGGTGGTGTAGACTATGACGATCCTCACATTGAAATATCATCTGAGAATGATCATATTGCGACGTATGTTGAACTTGTTGTCAGTTATCAAAGCGTTCTTTAATAATTTATCACTAACAAATTATGATATCAGGTTTAATGGAATGGCCATTATACACACAGCGAAAAAGAACGTGAAAGATGAAATCATAAGAAAATTACAGAGACAGTTTCTGGAGGAGCGTAGAAAACAAAATCCAAATGCGACTCTTAATATCAGGGATACAGCAGAAGTATGTTATTTCATTATTTATGTTATCTGATCTAGTTGTCTTTATACGTACGTAATGTTTAATTTGAAGTAGACTAATTTATTCAGCGAGATAAGGCACCAGAGAAAACACTGGAAAAACGACTTGTAGTTGTAGCACTCAACTACTGTAATGAGATTTTTTTATTTAACTTACGTTCAATAACCGATCAATAAAGCATGAAACGTGAATATGTAGAATACGAGAAAGAACAAAATAAAGATACACGAAAATGAGGAGTAATTAATGATGCTGACTACAGTAATGTGACATCTTTTAGTAATTCGAGCTGGCAATTCAGATATATACTCTCTAAAACAGGATGTTTTTGTTTACGCGACAGTTGCTTATCGATGTGCGCAACAGGTCATCTTGAAATAAAAGCATCTTGGCGCACGTTTTCACGTTATTAACAGTTGCCGAACGATTATGCAATTGGTTTAATGAGCAATAAACAGTAAAAAATATAAAAATCGTTTGAACTAATAAAAAATCGCAGATGATTTGACCTTTTGTACGAAATTTTGATGGCACATAACGATCAAGGTTTAAGATACGTTTCGTACTTCGAGCAGTATTAACTTATATATGGCGATATATTCTGATTGTTGCGCTGAATAGTGAAAGGAAAGTTTAAGACACTTGGCCTTAAAATTATTCGGGACAACAGTCATGAAGATTTTGAGCCATGACCGTCTGTTACACCGAAGTACGAATTTTTGTTTTAGCGAAACAAGCAGAAATAAATTGATCCTTTTTAGGACTGCACTCTTCAGTTGTATCCGGTATACATAAATCTTTTGTTCTTTCTGATGCCTCATTTTGTTCAACGAATTATAAATGAAATATAACTTAATTCTCACCTTACTTTGAAGATCAAAACCAAAGCTGAGTCTTATCACAAGTTCGTGAATTTAAATAGTGTTGCACTATGCTTCGAAGCATTTATTTCGGATGGAAACGGAATAATGAGCCGAATCGCAGACCCTGTGTATTCAAATACTATTAACAATCTCAGTAAGGGAATAGCATGATTAATCAAACCTATTGTAATAACAAAATAATCATAGTGTTTGTAATTTGATAGAAAGCGCATTGACCGGAGAGCTGAAAATTTGCAGAATAAATAAACTAACGAGCAGTGTAGAAGGACAGGAAGAAATATTTATGCTCGTAGAAAAAGTTGGGAAAAGTAAATATCTCTTTTACCTAATTAATATGTATATAAAAACAGCAGATTTATATGAGATATAATAAAATATCGTTTTTATCATAGAGAATATTAAAATAAAGTTTTTCGAATTAAATTCGGAGAACAACGAAATTTGGAGTGCATATGGTACATTTTCAGAACTAGACGTACATCATCAATACGCGATAGTATTTCGGTAATATTATTAATTATGAACAATGATTTCTAACAATTCAGTTTCTATATTGTTTTCAATATTACTCTATATAGGACACCTGCATATAGGGATCTTAATATCACTTCACCACGAAAAGTTTATATCCAGTTAGAACGACCATCTGACGGAGATATTTCTGAACCTCTCCAATTTACTTACAAACCAAGTGACAGGATAATGGGTAAGTTATAAGATTATTCTGTTTATAAATTTACAGTGAATCTAAGATGAAAATAAATGTAGGCAGGAAGCGGCCACGAATATCGTATTCTGGCAGTTTGGAGTTACCACACAAACAACCAAGCACTGATATTAGCAGGGAGAATATACTGGACAGTATGAATAGCGAAGAATTAAAAAAACTATTGTCCGTAGGTGTTAGCTCTTCAATAAGTGAGGATGTTCTAGCAGGTATAGATCTTAATGGTAGGTGAAGAACTATTTTACTTTTTGGCAAATGTATTTATTTTGGTTTAATCTTATTACTTTGTTATTATCTTGCTACTTCGTAGGCTACTTGCAATTTTTCGATGCAGATGAAGGCCAGCTGACGGCTGATAGTTCAACAGCCTCACAGGTATACATTTACTTTTACTATCAATTTGCAGGTTTATTCAAATACCATATATCTTTCTACTTTTGTTATCAGCATAAAGATGACACAATGTTTGCTAGAAATATACTTATGGACATTGTACAGTATATGAAACTGGATTCCAAAAATGCAGGAGAGCATATTCAGAAACTGCTCAATGATAGGACGACATATGGCGACACCCCACTGCATGCAGCACTTCGATATGGCCAACACGATATCGTCAAATATCTTTTACTGTTAATATGTGACAAGGATTGCAAGGGTCTTTTAAATCTACAAAACAGTTCTGGAAAAGTAACTTTTGACCCGTTATCTATATATTTGTTCTTAGTAATATATACGTAATATATACGTAATATATACTAACATATTGTTTAGACACCATTACACTTTGCAATCTTACAAAATCAACCTGAAGTTGCGAAAGCACTACTTATGCTCGGTGCGGATCCAAATCGACCAGATGAATATGGATTTTCTCCATTACATATGGCAGCGAAAAGTGAGTTAAATTATTGTTAAATTCGATTGTCTCGGGGCATCTGGTTGTAAACAGTATTTTTAAAATATTTTTATTTCCAGTTCCAGACGCTGGCGTCTGTGTTGACACGCTGTTGTCGAAAGAAGGTATCAACATTGAAGCACATAACGATGTGGGGTGGTCCCCATTACATCTGGCAGCTGAAGCAGGATCGTATAATGCAGTACGTTCACTTGTTCGTGCAGGAGCAAATGTGAATAGTACCGACATGTCTTACGGTCGAACAGCGTTACATATAGCTGTTGAGGGTGGACACAAAGACATTGTCGAATTTCTACTCAAAAAGGTTGATATTTTTAGTGTTTTTTGCGGTAATATAATTTCCAGATTTTTACAGATTTTCATTTGAATATTTCCGTACAATTATAGACGGACATATCCGTAAATAAGAAAAACTTCAGCGGTAACACCGCTTTGCATACCGCAGTTGTCCATCCAGGAACACGTGCAAAAGAATTATGCGAATTACTAATTCAACATGGGGCAGACCCACGTATTCAAAACCATGATCGAGAATCGAACGATGTGCGTGATTTTGTGTAAAATATTATCTTATATCGTATTTGAATATTCAACATTTTTATCTTTATTCATTTTTAATAGGAAGAGAAAACGAAAGATTCATTGGTTAATGTTAAAATTGAAGTTGATTCAGATGATGAGAATACGGAAGTTACGGGACAGTCATCATTTGACTTGGCTATGAATAAACCAGACGTAATTACTTTATGTTTATACATATATTATGATAAGTTTCAGAAAGTCGAATGTTTACCTAAGTAGGATGAATCCTCAAATTACTTCTTTTTTTCAAGATTTTACAGCTGCTTAATAGACAGACCGATGATAATACAAATCAGATATGTATGGTTACAACAAAATTGGAATTGAAAGATGAGAGTATGAACATAAATTGGCTAAATACTGAGCATAAAGAAAAGTTGGCTCTTATTTTAGATAAATCGGAAGGGTGGAAAAGGCTGGCAAAACATTTAAATCTCGACTATTTATTGAAAACATTTCAGCCTAGTTTCGCAAGTCCATCTTCGCTGCTTTTGAATTACATTGACGTAAGTTATATAAATATATTTTTTTGAGACCAGAGTGATACAATAAAAAACAACGAAATTATTTAGGTACAGGGATCCTTATCTATCTCGGAGATGGAGGCTATATTACGGGAGATTGGAGAAGAAGAAGCAACAAATTATATTCGTTCAATTTCATTTATGTATTCGTAATCTGCATGTGTTTTTATTTAAATTTGTATTATATATGTAAGGTAGATTAAGCTTGTGTAAAATATATTTTTATATATTTCTTCAGTTTTCATATTGTTTCATAAAAAATGATGAAATTACTGTAAATGTAGATTTATTATAAAAAATACATGATTAAACTCTGTGCATTCGAACAAAACAGGATCTTATCATTTCCACCTATCGAACGTTTTGTTGTTTTTGTGGGTAAAAGCGGTAAAAGGTTTAGGTTAAAACAGATAAACTTTCAAGATTTAAGACACTTGTTAAGTTGCAGTATTATTGAATGTCTTTTGAAAACCTGCACACACACGTGTATGAATTCTTGTTTAGTATATAACAATATTTTGTTAGCGAACTATTTGCAGTGAGGTGTGACATAGATATAAAGCAGCTGTTACGTACGACGTAATATTCATTCGAGAGAACAAGTTATCGAAAAAATTTTCTAATACTGGTAATACCCGTATTATATGTGTAAATACGAAAATATTTTCTTTCATTTCAATTCTAAAATGTACGGCGTAATCGTCAAACTTGAATGTTGAGATGAATCACACGTTTGCGGGAGGCGGATCATCTCTGATTTTCTAAGATATTGCACCTGTTTGAAATCCACTGTTGAAATAGAAATACTATTTTTGAAAATAATTAATTCGCTTAAAACACAAAATGGATAAACTAAGAAGAGCTTTGAATGGCAGTGATCAATGCGATGAGGAAAGTGGTATCATTACACAGGTAATTATTTAATGTCTGCTAAAAGACCATTATTTTTAACAATCTGTTATTTACATTTCATTATGCTTGTATGATATTATTTTAAATGCATACTATTTTCTAATGGAAGGCAGATGTGGACTTCGTGGTAAGCTTACAACTTATAAAAAAATTCATGCTTTCCAATAGCCTGAGTTATCAATGGAATTGTTACTATTTTTATTTGAATTAAACGAAATTTTGTTCATAGGTTATGGATCAATCCACCTTGAGTTGGTCTACACGTATAAAAGGATTTGCTATTTGTTTTGTCGTCGGTATACTATGCTCATTCCTAGGATCGTTTGCCTTGTTTTTAAACAAAGGCCTGGCAGTATTCGCAGTATTTTACACATTAGGAAACATTATCTCAATGGCAAGGTAGACTATTATATTAATATAAGCTTTCTTTCAGTCTTTCCTCCCATTTATACGATTGTGGATTCCTTTTAATAATTCATTTCTTTACAAAGGTCTAACAGCGAGTCGTTTAGTGAACTTACCAATAAATTGTATAATAATATAAGTAAATAATAAGACTAATCGTATAAAAAATTGTTACATTATAAATATTAGTCTAATCATTTCCCCAATGATCCTGTGTTATAAATCTACATATATTTCTGATGAAACTTTATGATCTTGTTAAAATAGAAATATTTTTTTATTTTATTCATAGCACATGTTTTCTAATGGGTCCATTCAATCAGATTAAGAAGATGTTTGCATCGACGAGACTGATAGCAACTATTTTAGTATTTCTATCAATTGCGATGACATTATTTGCAGCCTTGCATGTAAGTATGTTACGAGAGGTGTACGTTAATATTGTTAGGCCGGCATAACATACTTATTTGACATGCATATTTTTAGCTGAGGAACGCTGGATTGGCTCTTTTGTTTATAATTATTCAATCTTTGGCAATGACTTGGTACTCCTTGTCTTATATTCCTTACGCGCGTGACGCTGTTAAAAAAACTGTGGAATCATGTATCACGTGAAAAGTCTTGCGAGCTTGCAGTAACATTATAAGACAACACTTAATAATAAATATACAGAGACTTCTATATTGTTATCCTACATTATGTGGACTGCTAGCTAACTTGAAGCACAATGTAATATTAATGATATGGAAATTCTAACATTTATAATACGTCTATACCTCATTGACAACAGGATAAAGCGTTTCTGAACATGTATTTAGTATTATAACATTTTTTACTAAACAAGTACATAAATGGAAATCTACACCCAGCTTATACAAAATATATAACATTCATGTAATATTGTTTGCTTTCTATTATTTATTATTTCATCTTTATACAGTATTAATAATTTTGTATACTTAATTGTTTGTGTCACATATTCTTACTTAATAAATCTGAACATGAATTTTAATACTGTCTTATAATGATTGGCACTTAGTTGTATCCTTGTCACATCTCGAGTATAATTAAATTCTATTATTATTATTACTGCATCTCTTTTTCATTGAGATTATAAGCTCTTAAACTTTTTAAACATTTCCGTTTAAAAGTTGAATGTTCCATGTCGTCTACCCAATCGTGCATCGTCACAAGCGCGAACCACCAATCACGATTCTGGATGATATTCGTCGTTCAAAGATGGAAGTTCTAATTGGATGAAAATAAACAATAATTTCTTTTTCGTCCTTCCCGTGGCCCGTGGACAGCAACAGGTTCTAGGCCTAGGTACAAAGAAATTCATCCTGCAGCAGCCATCATTGTACGTTTGACGCGCGGGTCGCGATCACGGTCGTTAAGCGTTTGTTAATCGACATTCTCTTCACATTCTAATATTTATTGACATATTTACAGTAAGTAATATTCATTTTATTTTATCGTGTATCTTAAGTTTGGTTCTAGATCGAATCTGTATAATGCAAGAAAGAGCTTTGGAAAAATAGGGAAAAAACCGTTAGGGTACATCCGAGTTTAAAATTGTTTAACATTTCAGTATCATCTCCAGTATATCATATTTGTTTCATTAGATTTTTCGTACATTATCACGCAATTTTATGGTGCTTTATTCGCGATTTGTTCAATCAATTGTATAAGACGAAAAGGAAAAGCTTTTCATCTTTTTCGTTGAAACTATTATATCTCTCATTAAATTCATTTTGTAATTGTATACATTGGTGATCTTTGTTGATTACATTTTCACAGAGGAAGGGTTCACATCTGATTTAAGTGAAGTTGAAATTGCAAAAATGCCTGCACCAGAAGCCGATTGTAATAATCGTAAGGCTAACTTTAAATTCAACAATAAACATGAGGTAGGTCAATCATTACACACACATTTATAAAGTATATTTCATTATTAATGACATTTTATATTATTTCGCTTTTCTATGGAATGTTACATAACAATGTACCCCTTTTTATGTAATCTCCGTTAATTTTCTATCATAGGAGGCACGTAGAAGAAGGAGTGAAATATCTGTTGAACTGCGTAAAGCAAGAAAGGACGAGCAATTGTTAAAAAGACGAAACTTAAATGTAGGCAAAGAATTGGAACCTACTATAGAAGAAAATCCTGCCTCTCCAGTTTCAACCACCATTGAACAGATTGTTAATGGCATGAAATCATCAGACCCGACAATTCAACTTCAAGCAACACAAGCATGCAGAAAAATGCTAAGCAGAGAGAAAAATCCACCAATAGATAATATGATACAAAGTGGAATGGTGCCATTATGCATTGAATTTTTGGATTTTCATCACAAGTACATATTTGACAATAATCTTATTAACTTAATTTTATTCAATGTACAAGTTGCTTAAATGCTTTTAACGTTTATAGCACTGCACTACAGTTCGAAGCAGCTTGGGCTTTGACTAATGTAGCATCCGGTACATCTGAACAAACTCATGTCGTTATTAAACATGGTGCCGTACCAAAATTGGTCGATTTGCTAAAATCTCCGTCATCAAATGTCGCTGAACAGGCTGTATGGGCACTTGGAAATATTGCTGGAGATGGACCAACGGCTCGTGATCTGGTCCTTGGATACGATGCCATGCCACGATTGTTAAATTTAATTACGCCAGAGACTTCTGTATGTACGATGTACATAATCATGGTGCTTTCTGATGATACGAAATTATTATTATATGTGTTACCATTGTAGGTAATATTTGCTCGTAACATCGTTTGGACGTTATCCAACTTATGTCGCAATAAAAATCCGCCACCTCCATTCCAAATAGTGAGAACTGCTCTTCCAGTGTTAAATCGTCTACTGAGTAACAATGACAAGGATATACTTGGTACATTGTCATGTCTGTTTACAACTTGTTTATGTGATTGAAATAAAAATATCATTATTACTTTATTATTACAGCTGACGCTTGCTGGGCTCTTTCATATCTTACGGATGGCTCTAACAGTAATATACAAGCAGTTGTAGATTCCGGAGTTGTACCCAAACTTGTACAGTTATTGACTTCAACTGAAGTAACAGTTTTGACACCTGCACTACGAGCTGTCGGAAATATAGTTACAGGTGACGATATTCAAACAGATGCAATAATAGCAGCTGGTGGTTTGCAACATTTGGGATTATTGCTTCAACATCATCGCATCAATATTGTTAAGGAGGCAGCCTGGACTATAAGTAATATTACTGCTGGTAATATGGAGCAGATTCAACAAGTTATTAATGCTGGATTATTACCACCTTTGATACAAGTTTTACAATCTGTACGTAGTCTGTGTTTGATTTACGATGGATAATTGCTAACGGTACAATTAACAAATTAAAAATAATTGTATATTTTATATAGGGAGATTTCAAGTCTCAAAAAGAAGCAGCTTGGGCGGTGACAAACTTAACTTCGAGTGGTTCGGTACAGCAGCTGGCGCAGTTAGTACAGATGGGAGTGCTTGGACCATTCTGTAATCTTCTGGAAGCCAAGGATTGGAAAACGACTGTTGTCGTTCTTGATGGTTTAAATAATATCTTGAGCGCCGCACAGAAGATGAAGGAAGTGGATCGGGTAGCTATTATAATAGAAGAAGTTGGCGGCCTGGATAAGCTGGAAGCCCTTGAGCATCACGCTGTAGAAGAAGTGTATCAAAAAGCAGTTGCAATGATAGATAGCTTCTTCTCAGAAGGGGTAAGAGAACTTAGGATGATATGTTGTTTAATCACGTTCATTACTTGTATCTAATATATTTTTCACGGTTCTTCTATAGGATTCTGAAGAAGCTGCATTGACTACAGCTACAACGGCGGAAGGTCAGCTGGAATTTAAGTCGACCGAAACAGCACAAACTGAGTTCAACTTTTAAAATTCTTTAACCGCGTCTTGTAATAATACTTAAAGTGTGTTTTAGTTTATCCTGTAAATATGTTTGCGCTTTTTGCAAGCGAAAATATTAAGGCACGAATTCTCTATCTTTTTCGTATGATACTTAATTAAAATGTTGTGTGTTCAATGACAATTTCGATTTCATGTTCCTTTTTATATATGTAGCTTTGAAAATTGTCATTCGTTTACACCAATTTTTGTCATTCTTGCTATAACAGTATGGAACTATTTGTTACAAATCATGTATGTTGTGATCCTCTGATCAGTATATCGAAAATTATTTTCCCGATGTGTCTACATTTAGAACCTATAACAATTACTTCGTTTATTTTCAGATAAAACCATTATTAGGAATTTTTATTTAATAAGTGTTTTCCCAATGTTTTCCGTTTGATTATACAATTACTATATTTCTTTAAACTGTGTGGCTAAAAATAAAATAGTACATAGAGCATGCTGCATTACTTAGCATACTTTGTATGTATTTTTCAATAAAATTTTGATATGAAAATTAACAGGTGTTTGTAATAGGATGGGCTTCCAAGTTGTCATTTGTACATTTGAAACAAAATTTAGATGTTGAATGTTTAATAATAATTACAAGCTATCGTAAAATTAATTTAGAACAAGTAAAAAAAATTATACAATTTCTTATTACAAAATAAATTTACATAATACATGTTTCGCCAGTTTTAGGCTGCAAGACTAGACAAAATTGTAACTTGAATTTCTTACTTAACACCTAATTGGGAGTATTTATTCAGCGTACACTGCATTTATTCAAAATACGTTTTCGAATTGGCAAGTTATTTTGGTATATTAGTTCATTATAAAAATTTCTTTCGTACCATCATTAAGTACTGTTACTAGCAAATATAAATATCACGAAATGTTTACCTAGTATGCAGCTATTCGTCTCATTATTTAATTAAATAAAACAGTAAATCTTAGCGTTTCGTTCGAAGCTAACATAAACTGAGTCGACGTTTGATGTAAAACTATTTTCATTTTAAATGTTACTATCGACTGAGAATGAAGTCACTTTGATCGTTCACTAAAAAATGATAAACGAACGCAGCTTTCTTTCGATCAATCGTCGCTTGCGTAATTTGGGATCGACTTCCTTCATTTTTTTCACCTCTACTTCTCGGCGGGTCTCTTAAGAAAATTGATCCAAATATCGTTGCTGTAAAATAAATGCACAATAATAAATGATTTCTTTAATCATAATTATAGAGAATCAAACTATACCAAGAAAGTAAAACCCTACCAAGAGTTTTTGCATCTAGTTCGTTGTCTTGAGTATGATTTAATAATTCTTGTAAAAAATAGCATATATAAACGAATACTGTTCTTCTTATTTCTGGTAGCTGCATTACAATCTGCAAAACAACAATAGAAGCATGTAAATGTGTAATATCATTTTTTGGAGAAAATCAAGTTATGTATATAACTTGATACCTGTTTACACGGTAAGTAATTTGTTGCTGTGGACAAGCACACGCTATGCAGATTATACGGAATTAAAGGTTCGGCTGTGGATTCTAAAAGTAGAAGTAAGGCTTCTGCGACTGAGTGTACGCTACCAGCTTTACATAAAGTCTCATTATTTAATTAAATAAAACAGTAAATCTTAGCGTTTCGTTCGAAGCTAACATAAACTGAGTCGACGTTTGATGTAAAACTATTTTCATTTTAAATGTTACTATCGACTGAGAATGAAGTCACTTTGATCGTTCACTAAAAAATGATAAACGAACGCAGCTTTCTTTCGATCAATCGTCGCTTGCGTAATTTGGGATCGACTTCCTTCATTTTTTTCACCTCTACTTCTCGGCGGGTCTCTTAAGAAAATTGATCCAAATATCGTTGCTGTAAAATAAATGCACAATAATAAATGATTTCTTTAATCATAATTATAGAGAATCAAACTATACCAAGAAAGTAAAACCCTACCAAGAGTTTTTGCATCTAGTTCGTTGTCTTGAGTATGATTTAATAATTCTTGTAAAAAATAGCATATATAAACGAATACTGTTCTTCTTATTTCTGGTAGCTGCATTACAATCTGCAAAACAACAATAGAAGCATGTAAATGTGTAATATCATTTTTTGGAGAAAATCAAGTTATGTATATAACTTGATACCTGTTTACACGGTAAGTAATTTGTTGCTGTGGACAAGCACACGCTATGCAGATTATACGGAATTAAAGGTTCGGCTGTGGATTCTAAAAGTAGAAGTAAGGCTTCTGCGACTGAGTGTACGCTACCAGCTTTACATAAGTTAAGGAATCAAAATAATTTGAAATTACAACAGTATAAAAATTGTAAGTTGAACAGTTAGATTAGGATACGCATTGGTTCTTGGCTCCAATTGTCTAACCAATCTCTTATAGCTATAATCTCACTGTGAAGTCCTGGCGTCTCAAAAAGCCCCGTCGTTTTTATACCATGTCGGTATAGTCTATCAACTAACAGCCATATCTCTTTGGGTATCGCATATGGTTCTTGAGAAAGATTCTTGTTATTCTCCTACAATATGTGACGAAGTATGTATAAAGTTTTATTTGGCGCCGACATTATGTTTTCATATACTTACGAGTTCCATCAATCTACCAATAGGTATTTCTCTAATTGGTATTGGAATGTGAACCAAAGCTTCTATCGACGATCCGAAACAACTTCTTTCGTAAGTACCTAAGAAAGATTATGCTAATCATCATTAGTTCCTCTTTAATTTTTCAATCATGATTTCATGTTAAAATATTACTACCTGTGACAGTTATAAATATATCTTTTCCACCTTCAAGATGTAGGATTAAAATATCGTACAGTTTATCTTCTCCAGAGTTCAATTTGCAAGCGGATCTTTTGTCAACATATATTTCAAATCGAGTATCACACTTCTCTCCTAAAATATAATGAGTATGTACATACGTACGGTCGTACAATGATTTACGTTAATGGGAAATTGTACCTGGTTTTATAAAACCTTTATACGGTTCAATATCTAACCAATCTTTACAGTAAGTAGTATCGCCTAATTTTTTTATGAACTCGAATTGTACTGGTACTTGGCCAGTGTTAGCAATGATAAGCTCTTTGCTGCTAGGCTCAAAAAACTTCAATGTATCAAAGATGATTTCCGTAGTATCAACCATTACTTGCGGTAAGAATTCGTTTTCCAGTTTGTCTAGTTTCTTCATAACTTCTTCGTGTATTTTACGGTACTTTGCCATATCTATGATTCTGATCTATAAATTGTTACATACAAAAATTTAACGATGTACAATTAGTGATTACCAAATCTTTATATTTATTCTTACCTGAGAATCAAAAACTGCACTGACTGGTTTGTGGTCCGAAATCTTTAATTCAGAATGACTTCGATAATCGATCGATGTAATTGCTTCCCCTTTCCATAGTATACGATCACACCATGCTGGCGCTCTGCCTTTCTCGCTATGATTTATACAGTAGAAAATAACAACAAACATCTGAACGTAGAAATCAATTTTTACCTTGAGTCCCAATTATCAGTGCCCGGATCATATTTATAAGTCGGCTTAAATTTGATTTCTGCTTCTTGGAATCCTTGAAATACTCTGCCTAATCGTCGTTGTTGGCCCAATTGATCTAACGCTAAAACAGGAGCATATTTCCCTGCTTCTATGTGCCCCTTAGCAGCTGCAACGTCCATTTCTGTTATCCTATAGTTGAGGTCTCCTAGCCAATAGATCTGGCTATAGAAAACAATCTTCTTTCAACGTTTACTTCAAACATTTTTTAGGCATTTCACGAATAAAGTACTTACTCATGATCTTTGAAATTTTTCGGTGGTACGTATTTTGCAAAAGATAAACGCGCACATATATCCGCGTAATCTTGATTCCGCCTTTCATATTCTTCACAGTGCGCTGCTAAATGAGCATTAACGAAACAAATAGATGTATTGTGAATGGAACAGCTCACTGCTACGCCTCCTTTGTTACCCTGTGAACATTGAATTTATTACCATGTCTTATTGGTCAAACCTGTAGATCTTTAATTGTTCAGAAGTTCAAAATATTACCATTTTACCCATGATACCAGTACCCACTGTATCAACTGACACGTCTTTTATGTATGGTATATGATTCTGCAGTGCATATATAAGTAACATCATACCGACTAATCTAACAATTGCTACTTGTTCGTATACACCATCTGGGTGAAGAGATCTCGCTACAACTTGTCTGAAACGTGACAATAATAATATATGTGATAGATACTGCAATAACGGTTTTAATTTAGAGTCATCAATCTATATAATAAGTACCTCCACTCTTCTTCTCTTGGAGTATCATTGAAAAGAAATGCTTCTTTAGTTAAATCTAATTCTTGAAATCCAATGGCATATACGTCAGGAGGTGTCTTGTCATAACTCAACCATTCATGTAGTCCAATACCATTCGGCGGTTGACCATTCACATTCCAGGTACCAATAAATATACTATAATGAAATATTACCAAATATCAGAAACGGAGATCGGTGTCTTTCTTCTGTAGAAAAGATGACACGAACCGAAATGTTTTACTGTACGTATAATCATCTTCTTTGCATGCCATCTGATATCGTACAGCCGATTCTCTGGCAGCTACTGGCGGTGGCTTACCAGAAGCGATGCTGCGTCTTGTTACAACTAACACTGGGCTTTCTAAATCTACTAACTGTAAAAGAAATATTTTTTATCGTTCACTCTGTTTACTTTTTCAATGTGCACCAATATACTAACAGGATCAGTGTTATCTTGTACTTCTTCACTGGTGTTGGTACTTAAGTTACGTGCATTTCCTGTCAATTTCTGTACCCATAAAAATTCTGAAGCTGGATTCTTATTCTTCTGATATACTGTAAAATAATAATAATATTTTTAATAATGAATAGAAACTTATATAA